CGATGTTGAACTGGTGTTCAACTAGTGGTGGGACTTGATCATTGAATCTTTTGAGGAACACCAAGTGTTTAGTAACTTTGTCCATCCCAAGTTGTGTTTTAGGAAACGATTATACTTGGTCATGATTGAAATAATTATGTTTTTTTTGTATCCCCTATCTAATCTAGGTGTTCATCTGTTTGGTTAGTTGGGACACTGGCCAATCTGTTGGTTCAAATGGTTGTCCTAGGTTGCTCAGCTGTCCTCTGTTTGAATGCTTCCTCATTTGATTAGTCTCCATGTCCGCCGTCTCTCCTGACTCGTCCTCCACTCTTTTGCCCATGTTTGAAAACACTAAAATGAAGTACTAATTTGGACATATGTTGAGATACTTCTGGAACAACATCGGATACTTGACCATATGGTTTAGCACGAAGGTAGAATCAATGAGAAATATTTTTTCCATGTGAATTAAACTTATTCCATTCTAATTCCTCTCCCATACCTCCTAATGAAAATATCGAATTGGATCCCTATTTGATGCGTAAGCTTGAGTTTATTTATGCGGCATGCTCTCTTCGAGTAAGAGTTCATTTTCTAAATATTATGACTTTTGTACTTTGTTGGGTCCCTTCTTTGACCTGGGTTATGTTGAAAGGATATATATCTAATTCCAATCGATATTAGAAGTCCATTTACTGTAATTTAGATAAAAATGGAATCAGGAAACTGGCGTCACTGGTTGAAAAGGTTGTATATTAGTTCTGTACTTGATACTCAAATGGTGAAAGAATCGTCATATGACATGCTCGTCAGCTTGACCTGGAGTGTGTAGATGAAAAAATAACAAGGAAATTTTCACTTGAGAACAATGGGCTCAAGGAAAGTGCTCGTCTTCATCAATATGAGGAAGACTGACATGGGGCAAAGAATGTGCATCTGTTTCTTGGGCTAATATTTACTCTTTCAATCTATATTTCATGTCCAGGGATCGTTCCATCAATAGTATCCGTGCTATACATTTAAAAGAAGTGTGAAATGGCATATAGACGTATTTATAGTTGTTACTTGTAAATGTAAAAGAAATGATCTTTTACTACCTTCTGCTATATTTATTTCATGTGGCGGAAGTTGTTGGATATAGTGTGAGATCTCTATGTACACTTGGTCATTGACAATAATTTGGTGAATAAATTTGCTAAATGTTGAGCAAGGTAGGGAAAAATATACACACGTGTAGACTGTCGATATCTATTTTGAGTGTTTCACTAACTCGTCCATATCTCATATCCGTGTCAAGATTTTGCATCCCGTATGTATGTTTCTATGGTTATTAGCTATCAAACCCATGGAAAAATTTCTGTGTTGTACTCAAAATAGCTACCAAGATCCATTGAAGTTGATTTTGTTTATCGTTGACTCTCTATATGCTTTTATTAGTGTCGTCATCTTGTTCTTGTTTCAGAATATTGTGAAAAATATGCCAAGCCTGAGGATGCCGGTGCTGCACCTGAAGAAAAATCCAGTGACGAGGAGCTNGAAAGGCCGTAAAGATCACGAAGTACTTGATGGGACTTAATGACTGTGAAAGTTTCATCGAAAAAGCTCAAAGAGCATCGGCATCAAAGGTTGCGGTCGCCCAATAGGGGGCTGGCCATGTCATCAAGGAACGAGCCCCAAACCCGAGAGTGAAAGGGAGGAGAAGTTAGGTTGGAAGTGATCGTGCTCTAGACCTATGGGACTAAGAACCACGCGAGCTCTTTCTTCTCGGGAACATCTCGAAATCGAGCGGGCAGAAAAGAAATTGTTTCCCTCCAATGCTTCACATGGATTCCCCGTTTCTTTCTGAGTCGAAGGGAACAGGGGTTGGATGGCCCGTACCTACAACAATAATAACAAAGTTTTTTTTAAATATACGGTGAAATAGAAAATTATTTTTGGCAACTATTAAGTCTTTAAAAAGATAATCACAAAATAGTGAGTAATGTTCTTTAGATTGGCTCTAGTTTAGTTGTCAGATAGGTGTTATTGCATGATTATACACCTTAAATAAAGGAGTAACGCTATGTAGACTCACTGGGGTTGTAACTCAGTCTATATGGCTCTAAATGATAGACTAAATGAAATGTGAAATTAAATAATTTATTTAATTTCACCTATCATTTAATGTCACGTTAACGCCATCAGACCGGAGTTGTAACTTCAGTGGGGCTAAATAGTATTACTCTAAATAAAGAGAGACATCGTATTTACGATGTTCAATCAATTGATTGATAGATAGATTGGCATTAAGTATTAATGAAATTGAATAATATTTTTTAAATAGTGTAGGCCCCCTAATTAGCAAGTAATTTTGGCAGAACAAATTGAATAGGTAAAAGGTGGGTAACCACTATAGTTAGTCAAAATAAGCCAGGTGGACTGCCTGTCCTAGGTTTTAACATATTACTTGCACTTTTTGTGGGCTAAAAACTAAGAAGTCATAAGGAGTTAGGTCCTAGTTCCTTTCCACATAACATTTCATTAATATCCAAGAAGTTGCTTCTAAAGTTTGAACTTTCAAGTCCTTTGGTCATTATTTCTACTTGGACTTTGAACCCAAAACAAGTTAATGATATGTTTTGTAACTTTCAAAAAGTAAAAAATTACTTTTGAAATTGAAAAACTATTCTTAAACACGTTTAAATAATTTTTTGAACGACTTTGTCGGCTAAAAATATTTTTAAAGAAAATTGACATAAAAGTAATTTTTTTACGTATTAACCCGACCTGTAATCCGATCTTGGATCCGTCCCTTCTCACAATTAAACATCCGATGAATGTTGACTTTAATTGCAACAGGTAAAGCGCTTAAGTTATGATGTGTACAAAATGAGTAATGTTTATGTGCCAATTAATAACGTCTATCTTCAAAATCCTCTCAAACTCGAAAGAGAAATGATCGAATCTTTGATCGTTCCAAAAATGTGTTTAGAAATATTTAACCCATGTTTGTCTCTTGTAAAAGTAAAATTCTTTAATTTTCACTCATTTTCAATCACATTTAGACGGTAAAATATTTTGTATGTAGATTCAAAATTTTTCCATACTTTTGAACCAAATATTCTTCAAACAATCGCTTTTTAAAAATAATGACCATCAAAATTAAGCCCCCGTTTGACCCCCTTTTTTCCATTACATTACATTAATTTTTTCTCTCTCTTCGTTTCAATCAGACATTCATCAAATAAAATAATATTACACATAAAACTAAAATCTTTCATTACTTTTCTGTCATACATTCTCTCATTAATTACTATTCCAAAAATTTTCAAGACCCCAAAATTGGGGCAAACAGGGACTAAGTTAAGAAACTATTTTACTTCTTTAGAAATTACTGCTACTTACAAGGAATTTAATATTATTTACTGTCCCTTGTTAGGAGGGCACGAAGAATTTCGGCCGCCAATTTAGAGAGAAGAAGCGGCGGTGCAGAAGAGGTTAGGGTTAGGTGGCGGATAAAGGTTGAGAATTTTCGGTGTGGGTCCCAAACATACCGCGTGGAGAAATGGATGGGCACACGTGCACACTAAAGTTTTTATGATTACGAAAAGCTTTCCTCGGTAATTACTATAAAGTAAAAAGTTCGTACCGGCATTTAATTTTTAAAAAAAGTTTTTAACTTTATTACTTAATCATTTAATCGTTTCTAACTTGCCCCCAAAGTACTAAAATGCCCTTGGGAGCTCCCCACTCCAATTTACTATATTATATAAAAGCAAGTTCCAATGCCTTTGATATATGTCACGTTAACCATAAGTAGTAGAGGAGTTGAATAATTATAAAGTGATTGCTTGTTGCCGAGAAGAGGACCCAACAGATGGGGACTCGACAGGGAATAGCCTGACGAGTTTTCAATCGCTTCGTTAACTAGATAGGATTCAAGTTCAGGTTCAAATCGACTTTCACTCCATTTTTACTTTCATATTAAGCAATTGGACTATTACTTTAAGAAATATAAAGAAGAGTTTTTCACGGACAACTTTTAATTGAGAAGAGGTTTAAACTCTTAATAAGTTGGTTCAGAATCGACGACCGTAAAAATCACAAAGTGATCAATCTTTTCTTTCTATTTGTCTTGTAGACCAGACAAAGCTTGTAGCTCAAATGATCCACTTCTGCTCTAAACCTCTGACTGATGATGATGATCACAAAATAACTTCTTTTTTTTTATTCAAGAAATGTTATATTATGTAAAAATTATATAACATTAACGTGAGTTCAATATTTCTCTATACAATACCCAACTACAAAATAATAAAATTTTCATTATCATTTAATTCTTTCGTACCAAACTTCAAATCATATTGAAATATAAATCAATGCCAATAAATTCAAGTTGAATTTCATTTTGGCAAACTCTAATTGGGTGTGGGTCGTGTGACCCTTCACCAATAAGGCATGCCAAATTAAGTCCCTGTTTGGCGTCCATTGTTTTAAAAAAATTTTTTTGTACATAATTATTTTCAATCAGATATTCACACAATAAAATATATTGTATGTAAATTCAAAAAAAAAATCGTACTTTTAAACCACACATTCCTTTAAAAATACTATTTAAAACTCTTTCTTTTTTGAAATAATGGGGGCTGAAGTAACAAAGAATAAATGTAATGCCAATTTCCCAAAAGCCCTTTTTGGTCATTTCATATTCCCTAAAAAATTAATAGAACTGAATAATAATTAAGTAATTAACCTGTATTAATCATCACGTGATAGACAAATCACTTTCTAGTCATTGCCGTGTTTGACCTCCAAATCTATAGCTATAGCCTATACATACACATTATGTATCTACACACGCAAAAAAACGCACGCAATTTTCTTCCGTTTCCTCTGAATCTGTGTCGCTGTCTCGCAGTTATATATTATTCAGTTGTTTTTTATTAGTATTTCATTTGATTTGGTGGAGAAATTTGGGATGAATTTTAAGTCTTTCGGATCGAAAATTTTGAGAGAATTTTTTGATTGATTGGAGAACGATGAGTAGAGGAGTGAATGGAAACGATGCTCTGGAGACTATAAACGCTGCCGCGACTTTGATCGCATCTGCTGATAATCAGAATCGGGTTCCTCAAGATTCGGTCAAGGTAAGATTTTTCTTTTTGTAATTTCTGTTGATTTCGACAGATTTATTGCTGACTTTAGATAATTCAGTTTGAATTGTTAATTTGAGTTATAAATATTTTGCTTTTTATTTGAGTTTCTCGAGTTTTGATGGTTTTAACTTAGTTTGAGCATCAAATGTCTGTTTATGTTAGTTTTCTGAGATTTGAATTCTGGTGATTGTATGATTCGATTTTTATGTATTGAATTTTCTTTTTCCATTTGACGATGAGAATTTTATATGTTCTTTTGGCGTAAACATTTGATGAAGAAGCTGATCACTCGGGGTTAAATCCTTCCATGGATTTAAGGCTTTGATGTATCAGAGAAAGTCAATAGGTCTAGTGATATCAAAGGCATCATAGGGCTGATTAAGTGATAGCAATTTGGGGTCCTTTCATAACTGTCTTACAAAATATCATTTGCGATTTTTTGGTATTCAAACTTTCCAGGTCCTTCATAGTGAGTTTTTAAATTTTTAGAAAGTTAGTCAATCGACAAAAAGAATGGAAAAAGGAAATTTGAGTTTTTGGATCCAGAAAGTTATTCGTTGTGCTAAAATCGAAAAGATTGTGGTTGGTATTCACGTTGCTTGTCGTCTTAATGTAATATTGTCATCAGTCTATCGTGTTGCCCTTTTTGGTAGACCCTTTTGCAGTTAACATTACCGACCTCATTTATTTTTTAAATCAGCATTATTAAAGATTCTTGAAACTAATTACCGTTACTTAGAGCTGGTGCTAACAGAGCTTAGAGCCCTGCTGAAGTTGATGTCAAATTGAAAATTTGCATATATTAATTCATATTGTTTTTCATATGATGGAGGAGATGAGTGATCCATCTTAGTACTCAATTATCTGAGCAAAAACTTTCCTTGAGTTGAAATATCCTCGCTTGAACTCAATAGGAAGCCAATGGAGTTTGGGGGAGAAATGGTCCTTATATGAGTTAATGAGTTGTGAGCTCCACAAACCAGTACTAAAAGTAGCTTTGTAACCAGAACTAGAACGTGCAGGTACTCTTTCCCCTTAGTATATGACTTTTCAACGGGCTGAATCTCCAGGAGATGTATGCCGCCCATCCATAGCTTGTGTGTGTCCCTCTTTTTTGCACTCCGGCACAATCAATATTTCCAATTTTCCATCCCTATTAGATACTGCCCATAGTATCAATATATTGATGAAATAATGAAAAAAAGCATAATAATATGGCCTTGTTGTTCTAACTTTTCTGGAGTTAATTTCTGCTCAGTTTTCTGTACTTCATAGTATATGATTTGTATTTTTTGATTTTGATAATGTGTCGGAGACTGCAAAAATACTATCAGCCATGTATGCATCAAGGGAGAGTCATTATCTGCTGATGGAACCAATATTATAAGATTTGAATGAGAAATAATTCGACATGACATCCTGCCCTGTCCCAAGTTTTGACGTTTATTCTAATTGACAAACGGAGGAATCTCAAATTGATTTTTAGTTGTGTTTATGTCTTCCGCGTGAGGAGTATGAAATTTACTGTTGTGGTTTCTAACGAATCTTTCATCCCAAGAAATATTCTTTTGACCAGCCTCAAAAAGTGGCACACTGAACATTATTGTCATTATTGTTTGCCTGAATTTTTTTTGAGCTACTTGATATTGATTATCAGATGGGATTTCGGAAGTGCATTGTGATTAGCAAGTTAACATCCAGATTCTTTTCTTTAACAATGAGATTGACAATTGTGGCATCGGTCATTTATTTATTTTATTTTTCGGGGTAAATTCGTCAAATAGATGCCCAATGTAACCTGAGGAGCAATTACATGGGTCAATATCTTATAATCTCGAATTTTGTACTTGCTATTAGCCATTTTATTTAAAATGATACTTATAATTGACCTGCTTGTGTAGAGTTGTCAAATGGACCTGCTGAGATGTGGTTTAAGAATTTTCTAAACCAGTATGTCAAATAATTTTGGCATGTTTCTTCTTGTGTTCTTCTATGAACTTCAAAGGAACTCATGTCTATGAGTTAGTTTAATTTCTATGTTTATGATGCTCGTATATACTCTTTGTACCCGTTCTTACGTTAACACTTTGTTACCCAAAAGATATCTTTCTTTTTGTCCAGTTACAACGTTTACATGCTTGTTATTTCTTATTTCACATGCAGAAAAAAAGATGGAAAAGCTACTGGAGACATTTTTGGTGTTTTGGGTATAACAAAAACAAACAGCGAATTGGACATGCTGCTCTTGTTCCTGAAACCCCAACCACTGGAGCAGATGCTCCAACAGCTGAAAATCTATCCCAACCACTTTCCATAGTACTTCCTTTTGTTGCACCACCTTCCTCTCCTGCATCATTCCTTCTGTCAGAACCTCCTTCAGCAGCCCAGTCGCCAACTGGCCTCTTATCGCTCACCTCAATATCAACAAATATATATTCTCCTGGTAACCGTTCCTCAATTTTTGCCATTGGTCCTTATGCTCATGAGACTCAGTTAGTCTCTCCACCTGTATTCTCAACATTTACCACTGAACCATCAACTGCTCCCTATACTCCTCCCCCTGAATCAGTTCACTTAACTACACCTTCCTCTCCTGAAGTGCCATTCGCACGGCTACTTGAACCCAGCTTCCAAAGTGGTGAAGGTGGTCAGAGATACCCTCTATCTCAATATGAATTTCTGTCTTATCAGCTTCAGCCTGGAAGTCCACTCAGCCATTTGATCTCACCTAGCTCAGGCAAATCCGGTTCAGGCACCTCGTCACCTTTTCCTGACCTTGAGTGCACTCCTGGACATCCCCTTTTCGCCGAGTTCAGAAATGGCAACCATACTAAGTTTTTAAACCTTGACAAGATTGTGCTTCGTGAATGGAAATCATTCCACGGATCTGGTGCATTACCTCCAGATGGTGCCAAGTCCAAATGTCATGATAGTTCAGACATTATTCCACTTCCAGATGAATGTAATGGATTGCGAAATAATGAGACTGTGCTTAATCACAGAGTTTCTTTCGAGATAACTGCAGAGGAAGTTGTAAGATGCGTGGAAAAGAAACCAGCAGCCTTCGCAGAAGTTGTGCAAGAGTCCGTTGAAAACATTGAGCGTACAGGAGAGGAAAGCCCAGGAGATATGAGAAATGTACACGAGAACCCTGTTGGAGTAACTTCTAACATCACATCTGACAAAGCTCCCACACAGGGTGAGGATAAAAGGAAGCACCAAAAGAACCGGACTATCACCCTTGGATCTTCCAAAGAATTCAACTTCGATAATATAGATGGAGAAAATCCTGATAAGCCTAATGTTGGTTCCAACTGGTGGGCCAATGAGAAGGTTCTTCAGGAGGATGGTGGACCGTCTAAGATCTGGTCCTTTCCAGTGATGCAGACGAGTGTCAACTAGTTGTTACCTTCATGTTGCTATCAGCAGGATTGAATTTAACAACCGGTTGGAACATTTAAAGCTGAACAGGCACCCAGCGACAGCTCTGATATTGTGAAATTAAATGGTAGAAAAAAATGGGTCCTTAGATCGTAGTCATGTTTTGCAGGACTGACTCTCACATGAAGGCTGTTTTTTGAGCACTTCCTAACCTGAAAGAAAACATTGCCAGGAACTATTCTTAGTATAGTGAAAATACTTAGATTCTCAAGATAGAAATGTTACGTGATTAGCATCTTGATATTTGCCTTTTCCGATTGTAAGATAAAAAATGTAGCTATAGTTTAATTTCTACTAAAGACGATGAAAAGTCTGTTCTAGACGATCATTTGACAAAAATTGTAATAATTTTACCTAAGCTGATATCACTGTTTTATTATAAAGCATTAGAATATGTTGTCCTGCCCGGGAAAATACTGTTGTTGGAAAAATATGTATTGATCTGCAGTAAGCTGGAAAAGGAGTGCAGTTCAGAATATCCTATCATCGTTGCACTGGAAATTACAAGGTAAGTGTGATTCATGTTTAAAATATTCATATCGAAATTAGATAAATATGGTCATCTCAGATTGATAAAGCCTGTCTACTATTCCATGTTCTTATCTAAATGAGATAGAAACCTATGTTATTTTTGAATAAATAATGTGAAGTTCTTTGTGCATCATGCTCAGTATGAACTATGATGTACATGACAGCATTGAACGGGACGATCGACAAGAACTGAACTTATTTTTGTTCCTTGATCCTTTCCACCAGTACACCTTTTAGAAACTTTGATGTTATTCTTAGGTGGCTCTAAGATTGTGTTGATTTGTACAATTGGACATCGTGTTTGATTAAAAAGTCAATGATGCAGAGTTAACTGTGATTTGAATTGTGGCTAATGAGTGCACAAAATCCGGTATAATATTTGTGACTGCCCTTTGATTTTGTTAGCATAACGAGCTACAAATAGAGTTCACAGCGAGCCCAAAATTTCCTTTTACGACTATTTTGTTGCAAGATTGACACTACATGCACTAGGTATTGTAATTCGTCGTTTGAAATATTTGAGCCTTTCAAACAAGAGAAGTCGAGATGATGTTTCGCAGATCCTTCTTGAATGAAAGTGAATCCAATATGAGGACATGAATGCGGCGTAATGTAAGTGAGTTGTAGTCTGTGATCCAATTTGAGAACGGGTTTTTGGAGTTATTTTCTTGTTGAAACATGCCATGATCAGTTCACTTTACACCTCCACATACAGGTCCCAGTTAACACGCTGTCCATGAAAATGTGAATTAAAAATTTGATGCCACATTGTTTGCAGCTCTTGCATGTGAAAATGTAAATTCAACAACTTATTCACAAGGGAAATTAATAGTGGACCATCGTATACATTATGGTATCCACAAATTAATGAACCGTGAAATGTTGAAAACTTGACCTGTGTAATCAATATCATCAATCACTATAACACTGCAACACGTTCATGAACACTTTTTCACGACAATTAAATTATCGTGGAATTTAGTATCATAGAAATTTTGATAAGTCGACTATATGCACCATCAAGTTTTATTACTAGGTGGGTTGACCTTCGAATAGGCCTGCAACGTCCGAACCGATTTTAGCCTAGTTTTTCAAAGGACGGAGTTGTCTCTAATTTTGGTACCACTAAAGCCATCATAGTTTATCTCGTGCTACACACAACCACAGACCTACTTTCTCAGTAAGTAAAAATAACTTAAGCAGAAGATTTCCAAAACCTTGAATGAAGGTTGGCTTGTAAGCGCACAAGCCAAATTGGCCATTAGGTTGCCGTCTTCAAGAAACATAATCATTATCCAATTGCATGGGCATCCCCAATGAGGCTAGCACCTCCCCAACAACTACTTTGAAGAAGATACTTGATACCTCTGACATTAACACCGAATCAGAGGAGAGCACTGATTGCCTAGTAATAGATCATCATGATCTAGGCTACAGACTGCATTTTAGAAGAAATGATGATTTTAACAATCGAACTCAATAGCCAATTGAAACCCTTAAAATAGGGTAGTACAACACAAATCGAAGTCGGACACTGCAGTAGAATGTGATTAGGGGCGGCAAACTCTTGTTATGGCTATAGATAGGGATAGTGGTTCCCTACGATAGCCTAAGCTAAGCGATCACTTGAAAACATTACAAGAACAATTAATGATAATTACACTTTCTTACAACGTTTCGATAATCAACTCTACTAAATTTTTTCTTAAGCTGATCTATAATCGCCACGTCAATTTTAATCATCAACAAATTCTATTGTTTATCTCAAGATGGGAAAGACATTAAATATTATAGCAAAACTTTCTGCTGCTTCAGTCTTGTCAAACTATTCGTGTACCATACAAAGGATTGTGACAGATTTTGACATTTTGTACAACTTATATGGTATAATTGAACCAGCATTTATGCCACCGTAATTAAACAGCTAAAAAAATCAGAAATAGCGGCCATTAATTACTTTTCCTATCTACAACTACAAGGAAATCTTGCTTTCATTTTTCAATCATTTTGATTGATTAATTTAAGGGTAATGCTACATGTACATACACACTTTTACACAATTTTTTACACCTCTCTCACATAGAGGGGGGTCCACGATTATTTTATTATGTGTGGGCCCCCTTCCATGTGAGAGAGGTGTAAAAGATTGTGTAAAAAATTGTGTACACTTAGCATTATTCTTAATTTAATTCCATTAAATATCCTTTGACATGTAGCATTTTTTCTAGATGAAATTAGGTGTAAGATTTTTAATTTGGCAACAAACATCCCATTTGCATTTTTTTTTTTTTGCCTATTTTTATTTCAATTTTGCATTTAAGATACATGCAGCCCCTAAGAAAAGTCAGTACTAATTTGTCCCAACCTTTTTGGACCTAACAAGTTAATCAACACGTTAAGCACGTAACATGATTTGTTATTGTCGTCGTGGAGACCAATTTGTTAATGCTAGTAATAAAATGGTTCGATCATACTGCACTAGCCGATTTAGACCTTATCGTCTATCTGTCCATTTGGTTGATCGTGTATGCACTGAGCAGAGTAACAGAGATAGATAGATTTTGTTGAGACAAACAGATTGTTGTATGAGGTAAAAAGAATTCTATTTTGGAAAAGAAAAATTCATGCAACGTTGAATGTTAAAGGCTTAAAGAACATGGCTCGAGAGAACTCGTGCAACCATTGATGTAGAGACAAAAATGCTATGTGTTCACATTATACGTTGAACGATCTAGTTTTATATAGGAAGAAGTTGAGTAAAAACATTGTATTGTATTATGTGATAGTTGACAGTTTGTCGAACCAACCTATATATTTTTATTGTTAATTCATTTTTTAATTTTTTGTTTGCTTTACATTCTCTACATATTCCAACACTATCCACCACTCTACCAAGAGTAAACATGTTCCACCAAAAGAAGGAACTTCACTACCCCACACCATGTAGACAACATGTAGTCTATGTTTGGATAAACTCATGAGTTACTTATAAGTTTCTTATAATACAAAAAAGTAGTGGATCTCAGGAAATGCATGAATAGTAGTTGTGACTGTATGATTAATATTGAAGTTTGACTTTGATCGAAGATTTATAAATTATTAATAAATTTACATAAACATAATCGCAACTTCACATTAGAAGGGATATCAACCACCCATATAACACATATTTATAAACAATATCCAAGCAGTACTACAATTAAAAAAAAAAAAAAAAAGTCCGAATACTGCTTTAATTTTATCGATTATCACAAGTATATAGTATCTCAATGTTGAGTCTCGAGATCAATAAGTGACAATCTTCTAGTAAAATTCCATTAGAATTTTGTTGTATGTCGGCATCTTTTTATAAGGAAAAGATTTAAGTTGAATCCGTCTCGATCACAATATTTTTCCAACCTTTATCACTGTTTAGTGATAAGCCTCAAAATATGCCCATATATATATATTCCATGAGGCCACATGTCATATATTAACTGGGAAACATATATAGTGGAATGCATTTGATGAGAATCAATGTTATTCGCTATTGTTGATAATGGACAGTGTGACCACTTTCGTATTGTTCAATGAATAAAAATACATCCTACAACCCGACAATGGCTCCATTGCTTTCTATTGCTAAGCATCACTTATGCTAATAGCATTACTCTTTAACCAATTCTAGACCGTAGACCATATTGTCACAAAGATTTCCAACCTTTATCACTGTTTAGTGATAAGCCTCAAAATATGCCCATATATATATATTCCATGAGGCCACATGTCATATATTAACTGGGAAACATATATAGTGGAATGCATTTGATGAGAATCAATGTTATTCGCTATTGTTGATAATGGACAGTGTGACCACTTTCGTATTGTTCAATGAATAAAAATACATCCTACAACCCGACAATGGCTCCATTGCTTTCTATTGCTAAGCATCACTTATGCTAATAGCATTACTCTTTAACCAATTCTAGACCGTAGACCATATTGTCACAAAGATCGGTGTTACATACTATTATTCGTCTATATTTGATTATGAGTTGTAATTTTATTATTTTAACTAATTATATACAATAAATTACTCCCCTATATAGATTGATGCTAAGCACTACTAGTACGAGACAAACATCAATTTACGTAACACATAGGTAAATGATTGATTTAAACAATATCATCGACCATCCACAATTCCTTCCTCAATTTTGCTACACCTACATTTTGGTTGACAGTTTTATTTACATTCCATAATGTGGTACACATTTTTGCCATTGATTTGAACAACAATTAAAACAATCAGTGGTTTCAATTTTGGAATGTCAACAAAGATGTACAAATGGAATGTACAAGTAGCTTAATTCTTTCTTAAACTACGGGTTGTAATTATTTTGTTATTAAATCGATCTCTATTGCTAAATATTTGTATCCTTATCCCATCAAAAAAAATTCAATAGTTTATTTTATGTAGTATAAAATGAAACAAAATTGACAAAAATTCAATTTTTTTTCTTGGTATGCAATTATAGGTGACAAAAATTTTAACTAATAAAGGGGGTTACAACTTAAAAGCATTGATGGGGTTGGTGGGTCGGCCACCGNTTTAAAAAGAAAAAAAAAAAAAAAAAAGAGTAAAAAAAAAAAAAAAAAAACAAAAAAAACAAAAAAAAAAAAAAAAAAAAAAAAAAATCTTTGAAATTCCCATGCATATATGGATCAATTACATTAACTTTTTCTCAAAATCTTTGAATATATGAATTTCCATTAAAAGGCATCTCTTTGCATTAAATGTTGCAGGCCTGAAAGCTGTTCACAAACAGACTTTTCAGAGAGAGATAGAGAGTGTGTTTATGAGAGAGATGAGGATGGATATAAGTATTTTGTATCTATATACTTAGAGCTCACAAAAAGTTCAAACCCTACTATTTATTGCCTCTTTTTCTTTCTCTATATAAATCATTTTTATGTCTTCATCTCTGTCACTCACAGTTCTCTCTTCCTGTTCTTCATCAAATTGTATATGCATTTTTAACAAAATATTTTACATGGGATTTCATTTTTAAGTGTCAATCAACTCTCTAAGCTCCCTGAGCAGCAATTTTATACCAGTAAGTATACATCGAAACTCTTGCATTCTGGTTTTAGGTTTTTCTAAAGTGGTTTTCCGGTGGAGTAATGCTGTTTTGATCATCGTCATTTAGGTGGGAGTGGACCTTGATTCATTATCTCAATGGAGTTGTAATAAATTGGCCGAAGAATCAAGGGGCAACTGCCACGTAGAATTCTTTCTGATGAACTATTGTCAAGAGAATTTTTTTTTTTTTTTAACTGGTTTTTGACTTTTTGATTGTGTGATCAGATTGTTTACTATTTGGTGAAGAAATTGAAGTGGGCTCATGATGGATTTATCAACGGCTATGACGATTCTGGCATTGGTGGCAGTATATTTTCTCTGGTTCAGATCGATTTCAAGGTCACTGAAAGGGCCAGCAGGCCCCCGAATGTGGCCCGTTTTGGGAAGTTTACCGGGCTTAATTGTGAACAACAACCGCATGCATGAGTGGATTGCCGAGAACCTCCGGGCCTGCGGCGGCACGTACCAGACGTGTATTTGTGCAATTCCATTTTTGGCCCGGAAGCAAGGGCTCGTGACAGTCACGTGCGATCCCAAGAATTTAGAGCACATTTTGAAGGTTAGGTTTGATAATTATCCTAAGGGCCCCACATGGCAAGCTGTGTTTCATGATCTTCTTGGGCAAGGGATTTTCAACTCCGACGGTGACACGTGGCTGTTCCAACGTAAGACTGCTGCACTTGAATTCACCACTCGAACATTGAGGCAAGCCATGGCTCGATGGGTGAGCCGAGCCATTAAGAATAGGTTATGCCCGATTCTTAAAACAGCTCAGCTTGAAGGTAAGCATGTTGATTTACAAGATTTATTACTACGGCTCACTTTCGATAATATATGTGGCTTGGCTTTTGGGAAGGACCCACAAACTCTATCACCTGGGCTACCTGACAATAGCTTCGCTTTGGCTTTTGATCGAGCCACTGAAGCGACTTTATATCGCTTTATTTTACCCGAATTTGTTTGGAAATTGAAAAAGTGGCTTAGGCTTGGGATGGAAGTCAGCTTGAGCCAGAGTGTCAAAGGCGTGGATGATTACATGACAAATGTCATCAATACACGTAAGCTCGAGTTGCTGAATCAGCAGAATGGTGGGTCCCAACATGATGATTTGTTATCTAGGTTCATGAAGAAAAAAGAGTCGTACACTGACAAATTTCTTCAAGAAGTTGCACTCAATTTTATTCTAGCTGGGCGTGACACCTCATCAGTCGCGCTCAGTTGGTTTTTTTGGCTGGTTAGTCTAGACCCTCGAGTCGAAGAGAAAATCTTGATTGAACTTTGCTCGGTTCTGATTGTAACTCGTGGCAACGACACTTCAAAATGGCTTGAAGACCCTTTAATATTTGAAGAAGTTGACCAATTGACATATCTTAAAGCAGCATTGTCAGAAACTCTAAGACTATACCCTTCGGTGCCAGAAGATTCCAAACATGTCATTGCTGATGATATACTGCCGGATGGAACATTTGTACCTGCAGGGTCGAATATCACTTACTCAATATATTCAACCGGTCGAATGAAGTTCATATGGGGCGATGACTGCCTAGAGTTTAAGCCAGAACGATGGTTGTCCAAAGATGGAAGGAAATTTGAAGCTAAGGATCAATTTCAATTCGTAGCCTTCAATGCTGGCCCTAGGATTTGTTTGGGTAAGGATTTGGCATACTTGCAAATGAAATCAATAGCGGCGGCGGTGTTACTCCGACACCGGCTCATGGTGGCGCCGGGACACAAGGTGGAGCAAAAAATGTCGTTGACATTGTTCATGAAGTACGGTCTCAAAGTCAATGTATATCCTAGGGAGTTGACTCCAATACTGACTAAAATTGGAAAAGAATCCGACATGGTGGGAGTCATGTGAATAGGTGCACCTACTCGTTAATACTTCAAGTAACTAATCGGGAGTTCGACTTGTTGATATGATGCATATAAAAGTATAAAACTCAGTCTCTCTATGGACATTTCTCTGTGGAAGGAAGTAATCTTAAGGAGGTGTCTCTCACAATGGAAAGTGAACAAAGAATAAGCATATTTATTTCGAGTTCTAAGAACAGAAGTTCCAACGATCTATTCGGTTCTTTCAATTTGGATCATCAAATAATGTTTTAACTTTTTAAATCTAGTTTTATTTTTCGAAAGATAGTAATATGTATTGTACTGCTTCTGTTGACATGAAATGAATAAAATGCCAATGCAATTCGGTCCACAAAATTATAGAAATGTTCAATTATTAAACGTCTTGTGTAGGTGAAAGTACGGCAATGCTTTACCTGCATTTTCGGCTGATAAATTCCGGCATGTACTATAAAGTTTAAGGTTTATGACATGGTGTGTTCAACTCAATAAAATTAAACACGACAAATAATTAATGTTGCCACATGTTGGGATGGGGTCTTAGGACGTATCCAAGAAATTCTTCAAACGTAATATGTTATTTATTTGAAAGAGTCAATCTTTAAAAATTATATCCAAGAAACTCTTTAAATTAATAATTTAAAATAGAGAGTGAGCTTGACTCTCCAAATTTAGAGCGTTTTCAATAGTCTCGTTAATTATGAGATACTCTCTATTTTAAAAGGTCAATCTTGAAAATTATACTCAAAGGGGCTCTTTAAATTAGCATTTTAATTTAAAGAGTGAGTTTGATTATCCGAATTCCACTATCTGTAATTAAATGTAATCAAAGTATTTCAATTTTCAATGAAGAATAATAATATAATAATTTGGAGGGAATTTAGCGAAAATGAAAGATAAGAGAAAAACAATAAATATTTTCTTTCAATGGTATTTTTACTCACCAAAATTATGGCTGCTCTCTAAATTGTAAAATATCTTTTTTAAAAGCAAAGAGTCTCTTGGAGATGCCAAATTCACTCTATAATTAAATTCATTCAAAGTATTTCAATTTTCAGTGGAGAAAAATAATATAATAATTTGGATAAAAGCTAGTGAAATAAAAAATAGGAAAAAACAATAAATATTTTATTGCAAGGTAATACGTTAAACTTGTGACCCTCAGACTAGTCAATGATTCAATTTCTAGTCCAAAAGTAAGAGCATTTAGTCGAAAATCATTTTGACTTGACCTAGAAGTCTTATATATGTCTTCCAAGTCGCACAACATAACCTAAAGAACATCAATGGATGATTTGATTTGTGTCTTATATGTCTTTTATTATAAAAGATTGAGCTTACGACATGATCAAATTATCGAATCTAAGGTCGAGCATCATTCACAAGGGGAAACATGAAGTGTGCTTCTTGTGATCCATTTGCTAATATCAAGGTACATTCTATCTTTCTTAATCGTGTCAATTGATTCTTGATTAATGTACTAATCAGGCGTCGCATATAAGATTCTTGATTAAAGAAAATCCCTGTTAGGTCCACATTGTTTTTTTCATTCTCATTCTTCTACTCATTTTCAATCACACATTCTTCAATAAAATAATATTTTTCATCACATCAATAAATTTTTCTTCTTTTTCAATCACATATTCTCCATCACATCAACAGTAAAAATGCATTCTTACCTTCAAAATGTGCACCAAACGGGGGCTGAAAACATCTTCTCATTTATTTAATCACTAGAAGACAAGTAATTTATTCATGGCCGAAGCGTTCGAGTTAAGATTCAAGTTTTGTAATATATTCTTCACACTTTAGGCCGATATTTTGCTGTATTTTAATCATATAAGAAGCTTGTAACTTGAAAAAGTTGATAAAATATTTAATAAGGTTATTTTTAATATCAACAAGAGCTTTAGTTTATTGTTTCCTTTCGTGCAAGTTATATGCACTTATATGATTAATTTTATGATTTTACATTACACCGTCAAAGTCATTTTTTAGTCATCCCAATCTAACAATTTTTTTTTTGTTAGCTTGCTAGAATTCAACTTGATCTATATGCAGATCAACTGAAGTTTAATTTTAAGAGCTTGTTTGTGAGAGATTAAAATCAGATTAAAATTGAAAATATAGCCGTTATTGTTGACTTTTATTAGACGGGTGGGACCCAATAATGGTCATATTAAGTTTTGAGTATTGGAATTTCGTTCCGAAAAGTTAACTTATTAGGCAGGTGTCGAATCCTCTTTGTATTAACATTACTCTATATCTTGCCAATTAGAAATTTTGTTAGCACATCGTTAACAAATCTTTGAGAGGAAGTAGCATGTCATTTTTGGTCCATTGAAGCAATGATTTTTCAGAAGTAATTAGCATAAAACGTTCTTATCGCTTGCACTCATTATGTTGTTCTTATTATTTCAAATTTGACATTTACACATTCATTTCAACATTTTCTTACGGATTTAGCCCTTTCCGTCTTATTTCATCAATTCCTTCCGTCAAATATGGGTAATTGATGCAAAGCGTCCTATCATTTTCTTTCATTGTGCAAAACATCTATATCGTTTGCCTTCATTGTGCAAAATGACATTATCATCTATTTTCTCTATTCAAGTATTGGAAAAAAATTAATTAGCAATCTTACAATGCTTTAATGGAGAAAATAGATAGTAAGAATCTTTTACACAATGAAGGCAACTGATATGGATATTTTGTATTGATAACTCATATTTGACGGAAGGAGATGGAAGTGACAAACTCTGCAAGAAAATGTTGAAATGAGGGTGTAATTGTCAAATTTGAAAGGATAAAAAACGATTTGTACAATAAGTGCGAATGATGAGATCGTTTTGTGTTAATTACCCATTTATTAATGAATCATGTTACAATGACACAATTCTTGACGTAATGGGTAATATAATGGCACATGACATTTTATCATTAGAATGTTTTAAACACAATCAACTTTTTCATTTAATCATATTTTATCAACACTCGTTATGTCACCTCATCTATCAACCTCTTTCTAGCAAAGTGGCATAACCATTTATCAATGGGGCATTTTAAAAAAGGGAAATGCTACAAATACATTAGGGGTGCCATAATGGTGTCCATAATGGACACATGACACCCCACCATTGAAAAGTGTATTGGTGGGCCAACACACTCTTGATAAGATTTTTCGCGACATACAAAACGTTGTTGCAATAAGTGAGGTAACGCGACACATTTTTAGAGTGGGGTCGCCAAGATTGTGATGAAAAAAATAGAAGGCGACATAGAACGTTGTCGTGAAATGTGAGAATGTACGACAAATAATAAAAAATGTCGTCAAAAATATGAGGGAAGCAAAAATATTTTTGGTGGGAACTTATGGCGACAAACTTATTGCAACAAGATGCTTGTGATGCAATAAGGTCTAGTTTTCGCGATAATAAATATTTGTTGCTAAAAATTCTAATCGTGATTTCGCGATAAGATTTTTCGCGGCATACAAAAACTCTTTTGTGTGCATAAATACCTAGATTTTTCGAGTGAGTTTTGTAAGTAGAAAGGACTACTCAGTCAAACCAAAAAACTTAAGAACAATTCATTATACGATTAAACTTTCCATCACATAATATAATAACATGCAAAAAAGGACTACTCGGTCAAACAAATCCAT